AAAAAGAAATGATTCTTGAAAATAACCCGTCATCAATCGAGCTCAAAGATTTCCAAAGAAAAAAATATGCGTACGTACTAGAGAGAGTGAGAGACTGATGATGAGGAAATCTACAACTTTTTAGCCCGAAATCTCGGGGATGTGAAATGACGAGATACCCATTATTCGTCTTCCTTTTCTTTGCCACTCATATATTCCATTCATAATCTAAATGTCAATCGTTGATCACTTGCTTCATTACATACATACGAGCCAGTGAATTTTTGAATTCTTATTTTATTACGATCGAGTTTGATGATCAAGTAAACGTAGTACTTACCGAAAAGGAATGTCCCGAAAAAAAGCCCGATTCTCCTCTCTCTCTCTCTCTCTCTCTCTCTCTCTCTCTCTCTCTCTCTCTCTCTCTCTCTCTCTCTCTCTCTCTCTCTCTCTCTCTCTCTCTCTCTCTCTCTCTCTCTCTCTCTCTCTCTCTCTCTCTCTCTCTCTCTCTCTCTCTCTCTCTCTCTCTCTCTCTCTCTCTCTCTCTCTCTCTCTCTCTCTCTCTCTCTCTCATATGTCATATGTGTGGTGTTTAATGGAGAAGAGTCACTACATATTCTGCCCTCTCAAAAGAACAAAATTCCCCTCAACTAGCACAACCCCACCTCTTCTCTTCCTATATATAAGGATCTCCATTCTACAACACTTTCCCATACAAAACACCATCACTCAACTCTTCCACGTCATCCTTTTGCCCAAATATTTTTTTCGATATTTTCGATATACTACAAAAAAAAAAAAAAAAACATTTAATATTATACTATAATTGCGTCGAATTCAATTTCTTCGTCATGGACACCAAAGCAGAACAAACTTTTCGAGAGGGCATTAGCTGTGTACGATAAAGAAACCCCCGACCGGTGGCAAAACATTGCAAGGGCAGTTGGGGGGAAATCTGTCGAGGAAGTGAAAAGGCATTACGAGATTCTTGTTGAGGACCTCAAGCATATCGAGTCCGGTAATATTCCGTTCCCGTATTACCGATCAAACGGGAATAGCCGCTAAATCAAACGGAGGTAACTAACTAATGCGCTTTAATTTTGTATTTAATAATCGTTTTCGACTAGCCACACAACAAATTCAACTTTGTTATCCTGTCACAAGGTCCAAAAGTGCCCACATGAGATCTAATCTAGTATTATCTCGTATCTAAGGATAAAATTCCGTTGGCCATATGTTTCGATACATATATATATATATATATATATATATATATATATATATATATATATATATATATATATATATATATATATATATATATATATATAAATCTAGATTCTCTGGTAGAGCTAAACTCAATATTATATTCCTATTCTTTTTCGAACTCTTTCGCCACCTTTTATTAAGACCTTTCTCCGGACATTGATTTTTTTGTCTTCTTTCTTTTAAATTCTTTTGACATAATTTTGGTATTATTACTACACAATCTCTTCAAATTCTTGGACGAGTGTCCTTCAACATTACAAACAAACCACTGTTTTTTTTTTTTTTCAGTTCCTATTTTGCAATTTTCTAACTTTATGTGCATCGATTTTTTTGCAGGCTAATCAAGTGCGAAAGATTGGATTGAAGTACTAATGGTTTTACAAGAGAATGTATAAAGCAAATTGAACACTCACTAAATTATTGCGCAGTGTTCGAGAGGGAAATTGACAAACTTATAACTATCTTAGAAAAAATATCAGGCAATGCTGTCCACATGTAATTTTTCATTTCCAGAGTAATGAAATCACTATCTTTTTTACCCAGTTAGATCCAACATCAGATCCCACTTTTAGCATAGGAACAAGACGGACATGAAATAAAATCATAGCACTTAAAGAATTGCAATCAACAAGAAATTTAAAATAAATAAAATCATAGCACTTAAAGGCATTGCAATCAACAAATATCTTCGTCGTATTCATGTGGCTCGCCATTCCAATTTTCAGATAAAGATTTTTAATTGTTTTAAGGAAAAAATTAAAGACACGTTGCAAAACGTACTTGGAGATTCAGATAAAGATTTTTAACTGTTTTATAAAGATTTTTAACTGTTTTAAGGAAAAATTAAAGACACACTGCAAAACGTTTATATAGTTGTTTTTCTATCACCCACATTTAAAAAAAAATCAATTGAAAACATCGCATGAATACAAGCTACATGTAACAGATTTGTTCCCTTAACAACCAATTTTGCAGCTAATTTTTATCCGTTGCAATAGCCAAGTCAACATCTCTTAAGTAAGAGATACGAATGCTATTGATGCAAACAAACGAACAACTTAAGAAGTATATATTTCTTTAATATTCTACATTCTTGAAGTTACTTGCATGCCTTACAACTGAAGTTATGTATCTATTTATACTAAGTCACCTCATCAATGAATGGGAGAGATCAACTTGGTTCTAAGCGTCATGAGTTGTTCCCTAGAACACTCCAAAGAATTCCTAAAAAATTATCTACGATGGCTAAATAAAAATTGCACCCATGCAGTATCACTACTATCGCATATTCTCATAATTGTACTAACTACTATACAATGCAACAAAGTGACCCCTCACGTTACCATTCAACCCTCAGATCTCTAACGCCGTTAACTTATGTAGCGTATTTACATTTTTACCTTACTTTTATATGATATAAATAGGCATTTTCTGACTTTATTATTTGGCCAAAACACCATAACCAAAGTGAGAAAATCGATTGAACCAATATCGATGTTTTTGAAGCAATTTGAAGAGAGTTGGTATAGACGTAAGTAAGTTAATTAGATATGCCCTTTTTCGCATTTTTTGGGTTTTCTATCCTTCGAAAAATTTACGGTTTAGATCGAGGTTGAGTTAATATTAGTAGTACAAAACTCTGTTTTGTATTTAAAATTATCTTTTTTTGGATTTGGAATCTTGGGTTTGAGAATTTTGGGGATTTCTAGAATTTATTTCAATAGGTTTTTGGAGATAGGTTTCTATTTCAGTTACAATTTTGCAAATTTTAGGGATATGGGATTTTGGGAGAGAGGTTTATATTTCAGTTACAATATGCTTATGTAATTCACCTATTTTTTCAAATATTTTTTCTATGTATGAAAAATTGCCAATTAGTACTTCTTGCAAAAAATTTATACTAATTATTTGCAGTACAAGATGTTCGAACTGTAACACTCCAATTATATCGCAAGTGATTCTAGAAAAATACACCACCTAAAACATAAAATGCATGAATTTGAGAATTAAAACCACGGGAAACATTTTAAATTAAGAAATTTTGGACTAGAAATGAAAGTATAAAATTTTAGAAATTTCAAAAAAAATTATAAATAATTTTCAAAAATATAAAAAGAAAATCATAAATTTTGGGTGAAATGTTTAGATTGGGAACGAAATTGTATATTTTCATACATTTAAAAAGCACACATATAAATATTTCCATAATATAAACATTTTAAGAAATTTTGAATGAAAACCAGGCCGAATATGATAAAATTAGAGAATAAACTATATATAAATTGAGTACGAAAGATTCAAGAATGAGTATCTTTTTAAATTTTATACACAATAAGAGGGATGCTTTCGTCCGAAATATAATTGTCCAATACCGGGTGAAATGGTCGATCAACATTCAAAAGGGACAAATTATCTAATCAATATTGTCGCAGTTTGTAGTAGATGAAGTATATATATACGACATTACAATAGTATAAGGGCTCTTTTGGTTTGAAGTATGGGATAGATAATTTTTTAGGATTATATAATAATGCACTGTTCATGATTACATAGTAACTAAAATTTTCGGTTTGGTTTGTAGGATTGACTAGCTAAGGAAATATGTAATATGACGTTTGAGTTGCATCATTTAGATAAATAATGTGGGAAATTACAGAATTGTCCTTATCTATGTACTTCCTTCTAATTGATTTCATTTTTCAGACTCTTGTCGAAATCGAAAGAGGGTAAACCATACCTCCCAACTGGTGCTGCCACCACCACCAGTCACCACCACTGCCACCAAACGCCGAGGACTACTCCGCCCCAGCTACCCTAATCCCCTTCCCCCGTCAAACTTCTCTTCTACCCACTCAGACGACCAGTTTTCCGGTGAGTACATACTCGGATTAAAAAAACCCACGCACCTGGACCACCGCATATGAGAACAGTAAAGTCCAAATCATTTCGCAATGCCAAGCGGGTTCCCGAATTGGGTGCTCCATTTCTGCTACGAGCAAATGCAATCCCCCATGGTGGAAAATTCAATTGGGCATCTATTCGGTTGGGATTTGTGAAGTCGACAAATCTTGTGTGTGTGTGAGTGTGTCTGTATAAATTTCTCCATTTCATAACACTTTTTGTTTTTTAATAATTAATTTAAGATTTGAGAAGGGGTTGGGTGGGGGAGATGATCAAATGTCTTTCTGCTTCACTTTTTATTTATAATACCAGCTTTTGAATTTTCTTGGAGATTTAATCCGGTGGAGCTACTATGACGGAAGTGGGCGGTGGTTTTGTTTGCAGGGGTAAATATTAGATATACTCAGCCCTTTTGGTAATTTCATCTTTTTCCTTTTGGTCTGATTACACAATCACACCTCTTGGGATGGGACAAATTATCACTCATTTCCATGATTTGGTACCGGGCTTTAATCAGTACCGGGCTTTAATCAGTACCGGGCTTTAATCTTACAGACCAAACGTCTGATTACGGGTGACTGTATTGTCAATCACCCCTAATCCATCCAACCAAAAGAGCCCTAAGGGTGCAATTTATATTTAACCCTATCTAAAAAAGAAAAGAATTCTAGAAATGAGTCTAGAATCGTCTAAAAATGCCCACAACTATATATAAAATCGGGTTGACCCGAGTATCAGCGGGTTGTAACATAAGATACAGCTTCCTCCTTGGGCAAGAAATACTTGCAATAATTTATTTATTTATTTCTAAATTATATCCCGAAATAACTAAAACCTCCCCAACCTTACATACGTGGCCACTTCTTATTGGGCAATAGCTCCACCGAAGTTTAAGCCCTAATTCCTCCGAAACGGAGAAAAAAGGGTTTAAGAAATGTATTCCATGGCGCCACTACCTTAAACCCCTTCCCTTCGTCTCCAATGCCAGCGCTAATTTCACAGACAACTTCAATCAACTACTTCATCAGCATCGGATCAATTTTAATTTTGTAATGGCGGCGTCGCGGATCTCGTCGCTGGCGGCGGCGGCCGGCTTGGCGGTTTCTTATTCCACCGCCACCAACCGCTCATACGCCGACTCGCCGTCCTGGTTTTATCCGTTCAACTCTTCCGAACCTTCTACATCGGCTCCTACCGAAGCTCCTCCGGCGGACGCTCCCGGTTCGGATCCTCAACCCGCTATCGAAGTCTCTAAACGCGGGTTTGACCCGGAAGCGTTGGAGAGGGGCGCCAAAGCTCTTAGAGAAATCAATAACTCCTCTCATTCCAAACAGGTTTTTTTTTATTTCCCTCTCTCTCTCTCTCTGTTTTTTTTTTTTTTTTTTTTAATTTTGGTGGAAGAAAAATTGGCCTTGTTTGACAATTTTGATATCTATGTTGTGAAGGTTTTTGAAGTGATGAGGAAGCAGGAACAGACTCGGCTGGCTGAGTTGGATGCGGAGAAGGCGAATTATGAAGCTATCCAAGCTCATTCTGATATTGTGAGTGATTGTTCATTTTTATTGTTTTTTTGATTCAGTTTGATTCACCTTTCATTGCCTGTTAAATATATAGCTACTATTGCTTTCTTTATTGCGTGTGTCCCGTTTTTCTTTCGTAATGAAGTACTTTTATCCTTTCACGAACAGTTTATTTACTGAGGGTTCGGATAAATTTAAGAACTTGAATTGCGATTTGGTACTATTGTATATGAACATTTAACTTGGTTAACTTAAATTTAGGGTATATTGTAATATGTATCTGATTTATTTTTTTAGATTCTATCGTCGAACTAACCAAACTTGCATATGACAGATGCTCTAAGTAGTTATAGATATTCAGAGATTGCTATTTAGCTCCTTTTCCTTATAAGGGAAGTGAAGGAAGTAGATTTTGAAATAGACTAACAGTGCTAAACAAACTCTTCTCATGTTTATGCTACTGCTGAGAAAATTTAATTGATACCTTTGGATTTATACTAGCATATTTATTTATCGAAGTTCTTCAATTCTACTCCGTTCCTAAGCGCAATCATGGATCGTATCTGAGCCTCATGATCCTTATGGTTCTTCTGTTGTGGACATGCACATCTTCATAAAATGGAGACCGTAGCAGCATCATACACCTTATAAAAAAAGTTCATAGTTTCTCACGTTGACGATTTTTGTGTTCCTTTTATGTTACAAAGCAACGTCGAGAATAGTTTTATCCAGTCAATTTTTTGAAGTCTTGAAGATACTCCTCGAAAATTTCCTTGCGCATAGAAAGACATTGCAACCTATTTATCACTGCTTATTTGTAGGTTATCCTTGTTAAAACTCGTATACATGATTTAACTAACATCCCGAGATGTATTTGTTAGTGAAGAACACTACTCTTCACTGTTTGGTTTTTTACCTAATCTGTCTAATCTTTACTAAAATGATGGCTTATATTTACAGCCAAAGCAGCAAAAGTGGGCAGAAGAACAGAGGAATCTATATCAGCAGCAGTCTCAAGCTAAGGCACAAATGATGAGATATGAAGATGAATTGGCTCGTAAAAGAATGCAGGTAAATCTCTCTTCTTGTCCGAAGAGTGTTGTTGTGCTAGCATTGCTTCCAGTGACTGACATAAACAATTAAAAATAGAAAACTGAGTGTAACATGAGCAGGGATGAACTTGGATTCCTGCCCTGTTTTATACACAGTTTAATTGAATATCTCTGTCGTAAATTCAGACAGACAATGAAGCTCAGAGGCGTCACAATGTCGAGTTAGTTCAAATGCAAGAGCAGTCATCCCTAAGAAAAGAACAGGCCAGACGGGCAACTGAAGAACAGATACAAGCCCAGCAACGTCAGACGGAGAAAGAGAGAGCTGAGATAGAAAGAGAAACAATAAGAGTAAAGGCAATGGCTGAAGCGGAAGGACGGGCTCATGAAGCAAAGTTGACTGAGGACCATAATAGAAGGATGCTTTTAGAGCGGATAAACGGTGAAAGAGACAAATGGCTTGCTGCAATAAACACAACTTTCAGTCATATTGAAGGTTTGCTCCTACCTAATTGTCTGGATGTCATATGCTTAAGTATAGAGCTTGCAGTTGCGTTATAGTATCTTTTGTCGTATGAATCCCACATTATTATTTGTGTGCCCCCCTTATAAGTGAACTTCCACTTACCATCCTAGTTTTTATAGCCATTTTCGTTTATCTTGCCAGCAGTTGGTTGCACTGCTGGCAACTCAATATGTTTTCTAAAGTTTGGTTATATGCTGATATCAACTTCTATTTGTAACTTGCAGGGGGTGTTCGGATGTTATTAACCGACAGGAGTAAGTTGGTGATGACCGTTGGAGGAGCTACTGCATTAGCTGCTGGTATTTATACCACTAGGTCTGTTTTCTGCTGTTTCTGTTCTTTTTATTAGTAGTTTTTAAACAAAGTCGCAACAACTGACTTGTTCAACTGAATGATTGTTTTGTACTTTTTGTACTGTATGTTCATATGTATATGTATTTCAACTTTTTACAGTCTATGTGCATGTTTATCTATGAAATTTTTCAATAAATATAATATGTTTTTGTGCTGACAGGGAAGGTTCGAGAGTGATGTGGGGATACGTGAACAGGATTCTTGGTCAACCATCTCTGATTCGCGAATCTTCAATGGCAAAGTTTCCATGGTCTGGAGTAGGTTCTCGAGCAGTTAATAAGGTGCTTAAATACAGTACTGCATCGGGTGCAGCAGCACCTGCACAAAGTAAATCTGCTCTCCAAGACATTATTCTCCATCCTTCACTGCAAAAAAGAATCGAGCACCTTGCTCGTGCTACGTCCAACACGAAAACTCATCAAGCACCCTTTAGGAATATGATGTTTTACGGTCCTCCTGGTACTGGCAAAACTATGGTTGCAAGAGAGATAGCTAGAAAATCGGTAAAGCATCTTTAAATATTTTGGTCCGTCTTTAAATATTCTGAGAATTTTTTCGATTCCAAATGAGTCAAATCATGTGAAGTGAAAAAAAAAGGGAAAGATTGTTGCTCTATTTAGAGGTTATTTTATCCTTGATACCTATTGAATGGAATATATATTTATTTTTGTAAATTTATTCTTGCAGGGTTTGGATTATGCCATGATGACTGGAGGAGATGTTGCACCCTTGGGTCCACAAGCTGTTACGAAAATCCACGAGATATTTGATTGGTCGAAAAAGTCGAAGAAAGGTTTACTCCTTTTCATTGATGAGGCTGATGCTTTTCTCTGCGAGTAAGTCATCAAAAGAAAAGAAACAAAAAATCTTTATTTTCCCTTTTGAATCCGATTTAGTTACTCTTGAATCTCGTGTGCAGGCGTAACAGCACACACATGAGTGAAGCACAGCGAAGCGCTCTCAACGCGTTGCTATTCCGAACCGGCGACCAATCGAGAGACGTTGTTCTCGTTTTAGCCACAAACAGGCCTGGAGATCTCGACAGTGCTGTCACCAATCGAATTGATGAGGTCATCGAGTTTCCACTTCCACAAGAAGACGAACGCTTCAAACTGTTGAATCTGTACTTGAATAAGTACCTACGAGGTGAAGGTGAGGGAGGTGAGTTGAAATGGGGGGGTTTCTTTAAGAAGAAGAACTCGAAAAAAATAACGATAAAAGACGATCTCTCGGATGATGTGTTACGAGAAGCTTCTAGAAGGATCGAAGGATTTTCGGGCCGTGAAATTGCAAAATTACTGGCGAGTGTTCAGGCGGCGGTTTATGGACGACCTGACTGCGTTTTGGACGCTGATCTGTTTAAGGAGATCGTGGAGTACAAAGTGGCGGAGCACCACCAGCGGATTAAACTTGCGGCCGAGGCTTGAGAGATTTTGTCGGCTCTTTTCTTTTTTTTTTTTTTAATAAGGATCTGGAAAATTTTGTTATAGTTATTTTATCGGAGTTATTTAGTCAATAATAACAATTGTTTTTCGCAAATTTTATTATTGGTGATGATGTCATCAAGTTTCTGTTAAGCTGATTAATGAAATTTAAAATGGATGATGTCATCAAATTTCTGTTAAGCTGATTAGTGAAATTTGATGATGATGTCATCAAATTTTAGTGTATCATTAACCCTAAAATTTAAAGATGAACTATTTGGTTTCAATTATGTTCGAAATTATTTGTTTTATTTCACTTTTCAACCATTTTCTTCAAAAATTACTTGAAAATGAAATTAATTTTATTAGGGTAAAAAGTTTCAAAAAACTACATTTGAGGTGCAAAATCATATTAATTAATTTTATTAGGATGCAAAGTGCCCAAAAAAGCCACAGTTAAAGGTGCGAATTGCAATTAAAATAAATTAAAAAAATTCTTTTTCCGTAAACGGGTCGCCCCATTTTCCTGATTCCAAGACTCCGGGGGGACCAATTCCACCCCCTACCTATAGCATTCGGCCAAGAGCAAAACCCGCTTTTGTGTAATGAACAATCACCCCACCGCACACACTCACGCACGCCACGTGGCGACCTCCCAGAAACCTTCATCCCCATGCCAACCGCCACGTGTCCCCCCCACCCCCCCTCAACCGCTTGCTATATATATCCAATTCAACTCCGCTTCTCCAATCTCTCATATCATCTTCTTCAGATTGTCGTTTTGAAATTAAGAAAAAGAAAAAAAACAGTATTTTTTCTGAAAGTGTTTGAACATGGCGGCGAAGCGGGCGGTCTTGCTTGTGGTGTGTCTTCTTTTAGCGGCGGCGGGGCGGTGCTGGGCGGAGGATGCGGCGGAGAGAGTGAACGCGGCGGCGGACAACGTGAAGACGTGGGCCCGAGAGGCGGGGGAATCGGCTTCCGACACCGTGCGTGATGCCAAAGACAGCGCTGATTCTTGGACCGGTTGGGCTATTAACAAATTCTCAGAGTAAGTTTTTAATAATTTACTTTCTCTCTCTAGAAAATGTTTCAATTATTTCATGATATTTTTCATATGAGAGATGATATTTATTATTCATAAAAGTGAATAGATAGAGTGGATTTATTTATTAACTTTTCAGCTTATAAGTAAATGTTCAAAAGTGACCATTAGTAAGAAATTTTGTTTATAATTGCATTTCGGTTGTTCTTGTATTATTTCGAATCGATACAGAAATTCCGGAAGCTATCATAGTTACCGAAAATTTTCCCATTCGATGAATTATGATTTGGTAGACAATGGACTTTTAGGGATTCTACTAAAAAAACTTGCTTTGCTAATAATAAAAATTTACCACCGGAAGTTTCTCGACAATTAGACCGAGTATATACAAATTGAACTAATTTATTTTTTACCGTTGATCGATCTACACACCGTGTGTGTTTGTGTTTATATGAATTGTAAAGATTTATCATGTATATTATTAACCTGATTTTTAGCGTTGATTTTTAGCATTGATGAACACACCAATTATGTGGGTGTGTGGGTGTGTGTTTATATGAATCGTAAAGATTTATCTGGTGTATTTCACCCGTGTAGCGTACTATGGAGCAAGTAAACCCTTATAAAATCACATTTTCTAGCGTTCAATTTTTTTTTTTTTCTTGTGTTGTCAATTTTGTGTGTGTGTATAATGTATATATATGTAGGGGAATTGGAATGGATAGAGATAGTGCAAAAGATGCAGCTCAAAAATTAGTGGACAAAACCAAAGGTGCTGCTTCCAAGTCTACAGATACCCTCAATTCTGCTGCATTTGGTATTTTTTTTTTTTTTTTTCGAGTTCGATTTTTTTCTGTGAAATCCAACAAGTATAATTTGTGATTTAATTTGCTTCCTCACAGAAACTTCAAAGATTGCTTCCGACAAGGCAAACGACGTGGCGGACACAACGTCCGAAAAACTAGGCAACGCCAAAAACTACGCTTCCGAAAAAGCTGGGGAAGCCATAAAAAGAGCATCCGATGTTGCTTCTTCCACGAAAGAAACCACTAAAGACAAAGCAAACAACGCGTACGAATCCACTTCCGACCATGCAGGTAGATTCATCAACAAGGCGTCCGATTTTGCCGGGGAGGCTAAAGTCAAAGCTAACGACGCCTACGAAATCGGTTCCGACAAAGCTTACGACGCAAAAGACAAAATTAAAGATAAGGCTTCCGATGCATATTACTCTGCATCGGATCGGGCCCACGATGCCAAAGACAAGATGAAAGATAAGGCCTCGGATGCATATTACTCGGCATCGGAGCGGGCCCACGATGCCAAAGATAAGGCTTCAGATGCATATTACTCCACATCAGAGCGAGCCCATGGTGCGATGGATGCAGCTTCGGATATGGGAACCGATGCAAGGAAAACAGTCAACGAGAAAGTCAACGACGCTTACGATTCTGCACGCGAGATGGGAGGTAGTGCGTATGATAAGGCGAACAAGAAAGCTCACGACGCTTATGAAAGTAGCGCTCGAGGGATGGAGATGGCAAAGGACAAATCTTATGATGCCAAAGACACAATAAAGGACAAGGCTTCCGATGCGTATTACTCAGCATCCGAGCGGGCCCATGACGCCAAAGACAAAATTAGAGATAAGGCTTCTGATGCCTATTACTCTACATCGGAGCGGGCCCAAGGTGCGAAAGACAAAATTAAAGATAAGGCTTCCGATGCGTACAACTCGGCTTCGGATATGGGAAGCGATGCCTTGGATAAAGCGAACAAGAAAGCTCACGAAACTTACGAAAATAGCGCGAATAGAGCTTCTCAAGGAATGGAGAGGGCGAAGGATAGTGCGCACGAAACTTACGAATCGGCATCGAGAATGGCCGGTGGAGCTAAAGAAGGGGTGAAAGAGAAGGCCGATTTCGCGTCTCGAAAGGGCGAAGAGATGATAAAGATGGCCACGGAGAGAGGTGGTGACGCAAAGGAGAGGTTCGGAGATGCGGCGGCGAGTGGGAAAGAGACGGTTTATGATTTGTACGAAGATGCGAGAGCTAAGCTTCGTGAGAGTTACGAGTCGGCCAAGGATGGTGTGTCGGAACAAGCGAGGACGAAGTACGAGGCGGCGAAGGAGAAGGCTTCCGATGCTGCGGGCAATGTCGGAGCACGTATGAGATCGGGCACCGCCGAGCTTTGATCGGTTATTTCGCATCATTTTATAAATTAATTTCCTTTTTTTTTTTAAATGTTGCCTTGTTGCTTAATGTTGATCCTGTAGTTAGCAAGAGGGATTACAATGGGCTTTGCGTAATTTTATTGTTATGTAGTGCTTGGAGAGTGTTAAGTAGTGTATTAACGTTAATTGTCATTAGTTTTATGTAATTAGTGTGCAATAATAATGATGATGTAATTTATGCACGTGGCTGGAAATTTCATTGGACAAGACATTCTTCATTCACACACACAAAGACAACACAAAAAGTTTGTGATTTCGAATATGTATTTATAAATAAAATAAAATAAAAAATGCATTTATATATGTTAAATTGTGGCATACAAATTATGTTCTCGTGCAAAATTTGAGAATCTTTTAACCTTGGTGAAAATAGAAATAAGATTCTCAAATAGACAATTGAGTTCAAAAGTTGAGTTCAAAAGATACATATATACATATATATATATACATAAATATAGATATATATATATATATATATATATATATATATATATATATATATATACATATATGTATGTATGTACGTATGTAAAATATGTACTAATACAGTTGAAAGCAATAAATGATTGTGGATTGCCATAATGGGAAATGCAACAACATGTAGCCGTGCAGATATGGGCTTGAATTATTGACCATGCTTCTTTATTAATCAAACATCTTACTACACCAACAAACAATCTACTATATCTTAATTTATCCAATCTATTTATTTAATTAATTAATTAATTAATAGCTTATTTAATTAGTTTGCATCTATATTAAACACCAGTTAAAATTTAAAAAAAAAATACTGCATCCATTTGAAGAACTTATTACTCTTTACAGTAACTCATTTATTACTCTTCAACCAACTGAATATAAGAGCTTCAGTACTTCAGCTAAGCCAATACTACTTACTGCATGCTTATCAAGAGTTTAATTAATTAGACTACTTTAATTTAATTACTTGTGATTAATTATTGTCCTAATTAAATACACATATGTTATGATTAATTAAGACATGGTTAATTAGTTAATGTACACAATGCGTGATCATGGCTTTTCTGTTAATTAATTACTAGATAGTTTTTGTTGGCCTAGCTAATAGTAACAAATACGTTGTAGGGATCGATCGAATTAAGGTAATTAATTAAAACTAATATTCGCCGAAAATATATTTCTACATTAGATGATGATGATGATGATGATAATGCACAAGCTTGTACTACTAAATGTGACGAATAAGTTCTTGCCTTTCGTTTTTCGTTTTTTCGGATGAATTAATCGGATTGCGTCGTCTTCTTGATGGATTGTTTGTTGTTGTGCATCCAAACTTTGAAAACCTGTCTCTTGACGCCGACTTCGTTGCAGAACTGCTGCACCTCTTTCTCGTCTTGCTTCTGCATTCTCCAACCGATCTTCGACGCGAATTCTTGCATTCGATCCTTTTGGTTTTGGCTGAATTTTGTCCGGAATCTCTTCTTGAATGACGGGGGCACCGGCCCCCCTGTCGTGGTGTTGTGTCCACCGCCGCTGGAGTGGAACATGTTGAGATCCTCGCTGGACGACTCGGCCGCGGTTCCTCCGCTGTTTCCGCCGAAGTTCACCATTGTTGGCGGCCTGGCTGCGAAGCCTTGGGAGTTTGTGAGAGTGTGCTTCGTGAGGTGGTGGTGGGGCGGCGGCGGCGGCGGGGCGGAGGATGGAAGTTGGCTGCCGTGGAATAATGCGGAGCGGTGGTTGTTGTTGTTGGTTGAGTTGGGGTTGAGGTAGGCGGGGTGGTGGGTTTGTAGCAGCTGGCCTTCGGCTTCTTTGCGGTGGAAGTTGCGGTGGCAATTGCAGGCGGCGCATCTCAAAGATTCCGGGGAGGCGTCGTCTCCACTAGGCATGAATTCACCGCACCCGTCTACAACATGGCCGCCCATGCTAGCAGCATGGTTCTTGAGGCACTCTCTATATCTCACGGAGCCTTCTATCTGCTGCTGCTGATGCGGCGGCGGCGGTGGCGGTGGCGTTACTGCAAGATTGTTCGAATTCGATGCAGCAGCAGCAGCAGCAGTAGTTGGGGTGGATGTGGGCGGCGGCGGATCTGGATCTGGGCTGGAGTACTCTTCGTTGACAAGTGGCTGCTGCAGCAGCTGTACTAGTGGGGCAGGAGGGCTGAGCTGGCGGTGGTGCTGCGGCGGCGGCGGAGGATTATTAAAGTGGTGGTGGTGGTGATCTAGGGTTAGGGTGGGGCTGAAAATAGAGCTGCCGCGGCGAGTGGAAAGCATGGAAATAGTGCCCCTACGATGATGATCAGGCGGAGTAGAAAGAATAGGAGCAAGCGGAAGCTTCACCGGAGAATCTTGGCCGCCGTAAGAAATTGAATTCGCCATACCTACTGCTGCTGCTGTATGAGTATCCCTTCTTTCTTGACTACTCCTCCTCTCCATTAATAATTCAAACCAACAACAAAATTAAAAACACGAATATTCTCTCACAGATTCTTTCTTCTTCTTCTTCTTCTTCTTCTTCTTGTTATTAATCCTTCATCATATCAATCATCATCATCTAGAATCAATGTAATTGATTTTTTCTTGGATAAATAAATTAAAACCACAGCACCAATTCTCAACCCGAGATAATTGACCTGAGACCCCAAAATCGAATTAATAAATAATTAATTAATTAAACAAAAATTAATAGCTAGGGATGGGAATTGGGGACCCTCTCCCACCTTAATTAATTAATTAATTAATTAAGCAAGTAATTAATTAATCTAAACAAACACCTGTAATAAAACGACAGAATCAAGATGTCAGTGTGCACCACCGTCGCAACCAGCAAATGAAAGCTTCACTGCAAAATTAAAGCACCATGTAAAGACGTTACACACACAAACACACACACTGATTCAGTGAAAATGGCGGATTAAAATAATAATCAAAGAAAAATGGGGGTAATTTAATTAGCCAAGAAAAAGAAGCAAGTTTTTGGGTGGTGTGGTGTTTGTCTCCCAACAGCAATCCAGGATTTTTCTTTTTCTTTTTTTTTTTCTTTTTAAACCGTCCAATAGTATGTGTGTTGTGCGCACTTGAGAGAGAGAGAGAGAGAGAGAGAGAGATGTAGAGAGAGAAAGCTAGAGAGAGAGGACTTACTATAGAAAACAACCGACAAGGTGATGTTGGGGTTCACTTCCACAGCCTGCAAAATGGTCCATTGTCTCGTTATTATTACATTACTCTCTAACTTCGTTTATTTTCCTTAATCTTCTCTAATTACACTCTCTTAATACACTAACCCTAAACACAACAACTTAATTCTAGAGAGAGAGAGAGGGGTGAAATTAATTAAATATGTAAAGAAAGTCCAAAAGTGTTGTTTTGCTAATTATTAGACATGGGGGTTTGGGTTTGGGTTTGGGTTTGTAATATATTAATTAATTAATTAATTAATACAGCATATATATAGGAATGGGACTAAAAAGGTTGGTGGAGTAATTAGTACAGCTTTTAGTACTGCTGATCATAATTAATCATGTCATGTATGTATGTATGTATGTATGTATGTATGTATGTATGTATGTATGTATGTATGTATGTATGTATGTATGTATGTATATTACAAGAGATGATGGAAGGATGACTTTAGTGGGGTTAAGTTTGTGGAGGAGGAGAGGGGAGGGGGTGCAATGCAAAAGTGAAAATGATATATTATGCTACACAGCACATTACTCTGTACGTATATATCATATATATATCATATATCTTTATATATATATATATATATATATATATATATATATATATATATATATATATATATATATATATAAATATATATATATATGGTCCCGTTAATATTGTATTTGTGTATGTATTTTTTGTGTGTCTAAGATTCTTCCCTTTCCATCTTTAATTACCCCTCTCTCTCTCTCTCTCTCTCCCTCTCTCTCTCTAGAAGTTAGCCTGATTTTTTTGTTTCTTTTTCGTTTTAAAGAACACACACCCAAAAAAAATTAAAAAGAAAAAAAAAGGAAGTTGGCCTGTTGTAGATGTGTTTATAGCAGAATTCGTGCAAAGCTTATCTCAATTAATTTATGTAATTAGCAGATAAAACGAGTAGGATTATGGAATCAATAGAAATAAGTAGGGTTTATGAAGAGAGGGTGAAGTTGGAATTTCAGCTCTTACATCAACTATACAAGAAACAAAGTACAGGTTCAAGTCACCTGGATTTAACTGAAATTACTAATTAGCACATTCAGAAAATTTTCAACTTTTTTCGGAGGTGGGAATTAATTTCAATTTTGTGCGAAAAAAGAAAAGGCGAAAAAATCTATAATCGGAATTTCAATGATTGACAAAAAAGAAAAAAGAAAAAAGAAAAACTCGTTCCAAATAGAAATTTTTGGATTGGAATCGACCCGCAATTCTGAAATTTCAAATTTTTAGTTACCTATAATACAAAATACATAATAATATTGATTATTAGTGTCATTTTTGGAAAATAACCGGAATTTTTATAATTAAAATCAGAAATCGGAATCGGATATGTATGCCAACTCCATTCCAACAATAATTGGAACTTTCGGGAGTGACGGCATTCAAAATGAAAAATATTATTCCAAAATCGAAAAAATTCTGATCAAAATCAACAAAATTCGAAAATTTTTGTTCAAATTTTACCCCTACAATGACCTACTATGAGGATTTTGTGAGTAATTGATTCACAATCCCACTTGTCAAAATATAATTTATTGTGAGGCATATATAGTTTGGGAACAAAGATACACATCTCAATTTGTCAAGATCCTTTTTTGTTTTTTGTTTTTTGTTTTTTGTATTTTTGTTTTCTTACCAATAATTATTAATAACTTTTCATTATTACCAAGAACTCGAGTTTTCCCCCCTTTTTAGCAAATTTAACCACCAAGTTTATAGTGGTAATTTAAGTTTCCCCAAAACATAGGGAACATAACAGAATTTTACAAATAGGAGTGACAATCGGGTCATGTACTGGTCATGTACTGAGTCAAGCTTCGATAGCTCAAACTCAATTACCATCGAGCTTCACCAATATAAGCTTAAATTCACATACCATGTATCATAATTTATAATTGTATGCTTAAATTCGGCTTGTATATTATATCGGACTTCCGATTTATGTCGGCCTCAAATCGAATTAGTTCAAAAAAAAAAGTTACACATGACTTAAATACGTATTTTACTCAATAAGCAATAAAATATAAATTTCATGCATGTAGTCCATAATATAAAGTATTAAATAATGCTTAAGATAAAATGTCATGAAGCCATGACAGATTATGATAATTGGTCAAACTAATTAAAAATTTAAATATGTATAAGATAGGATAATAAATAGTATTTTTATGGAGGACAAAAAAAATGATATGATCATATTTAAATAAATTGTATAGTCTTTTCACTTCAGAGAAATGTTTGAAATTATTCAAATTAAATGAAAAATATATATATTATTTATGTAAAAAAAAACTTTTGAATTCTGTAAAATAGCATTAATTTTAGTTTAAAATTAGCTTCAATAGATCAGTGCAAGTTGAATTTCTCATTCAATAGTAAAATGTTTTTGTCTACCAGTGATTGTGTAAAAATAAACACAAATAAATGTTTCAAACAATAAATTTAACAACTATTTTAATTACTTATTTAATCAGGAGTTGAGCCATAATAATCTCAAATTCGACTCGTAAATGTTTCTAACTTAATAGAGTATCTAAATTGCAACGCGACTTACAATTAATTGTACTCGACTTAAAAAATAATCGAGCCGAACACAATTGAGCTTGGGTTCAAAAGTTTTTTAACATAATAAAAATTTATCTAGGCGTGTAAACACCTAAATTGACTCAAACTGAACGTACGATTATTCAAATTTGTTGAATATCTACTGAGATTTAAAACTGTGTTTGAGTTCGATTTGACATGCAATTGAATCAAAGCTCAAACGAGCTTCTATCGAGAAAAAACAAGAATCGAGTAGTTCGATTTGTATTTTTATTTTTTCTAGGGTTTGAAAATTGGCACATAAGATCCATGACAAACTAGGGATTAACTATTTGAAAATATTAATTAATTAATAACATGTCGACCCACATTTTTCCTGGTTGAAGGGGAACAAGTTCCAATCATTTATTAAATTAATTAATGGTTCACTAATGGCCAATGATTAAACTAATCGGTATTTTTATTTCATAATAATGATTAGTAGACCTAGTAGCTGATGATTGATACACGTGGTCGAACCCTAACCATGCATAAATCTATATTATCCTCCTCAAATTTTCTCATCTAGGATTATATTATTTGTTCGTTTTCTTTTGATATTTCGACTTTATTATTTTTCGAAGGTTTAAAATATTTTGTGGCATATGAAAATTAGTTACATGGTGCAAATTAGAATCTTTTTATATAAAATTAATTTTTATGGTGCAAATTAGAATCTTTTTATATAAAATTAATTTTTAGAACATTATTAGTTATTAGTCTTGCCAAAATTAGTGTTTTTATTTTTGAAAAATTGTAATTTTTAGAAAATTTTCAAAACTTTTTTAAACTTTTAAACTTATGTGATTTCCGAAATTTCCCGCACTTAAGGAATTGGAATGAATTTATAAGTTGCGAAAATTTTGGAATTGGAATTAATTTTGTACTTCCAGTATAATTTGGAAAATTTTCGAAAAGATTAATTTTGATCCGCTCCGACTTTCACCCCTACATTTAACCATCTGATCGCCCAAAGCTACGAATCTCATCAGACAAAACGAGACCCTCCTTACAAAAATACGTCTGAATGTATAGATTAACGAATCCACACTAATTTATACAAATTCAAATTTCAAAAGATATAATCATTCAAGTCCAGGAAATATGAAAAGAAAACTAAAGATCTAAATACGTACCGATACCGCTTTAAAATAAAAGCTTCACGAACAATTAAAAGAGCCAGTAAATGCGATTTTTGTACTCTCGTTTTTCAGATATTAATAGACTCAATTCAAGTCCGTTATCGGAATTCCTAGCTTCTGCTAATTCTAAAGAAAGTTTATCAACTTCAAATAAAATGAACACGAGCTAGCTTACACAAAGCAAAACCGGAGAATTATTGGGAAAATTATCTTCTAGCCTCGCTGGGAATAAATCGCCTATTCATCGGGTAAGAGTAAGTAACAGAAATCTCTTCAATCATTAACTCGGCAGCAGGCTGTTGTTCACTTATTACTGGTTCCAAATGCATGCCCTAAAAGTAAAAAGCATGCGAGAAAGTAAATCGAATCAGAAAAAAGAAAAAAATTAATAATAATAATAATACGAAAAGAAGGAAAACAAAAGGGAGAACACGACTTGCTCAAAACTCAAATGTGATCTAGTAATTATGGATCGTTAGATAAAAGCTACATAAAAGTTCAACTAATATGATTCCACAAAGTAGTTCATCCAACAAAGATAAGAAGCGGTCCATCGATACCATTTTCACCACAGTACAGACAAAGAAGTATATACACGAACACAAATGAATCTCTCGAAAATTAACAGAGCAAGATAATGATCACAAAATTGGCAGTAGTGAATATTCCCTGCGTTTCTTTTTAAGTGTCGTTTAAGGTGGATGCGCACCAAATTAAGGAAGCTACTAAATAGTCTTGATTTTCAGGGGAAATTCCTTGTTTGACGACATTACCCCTTCGTGACTTTTTACCTTCTCTTTCTCACTTCATTAATATGCTATCAATGTTAGGGTATAGTCCGATAAACGAATCTGTTCCTCGTTGAAATTGTAAAACGACACTTAAATATGAAAGCAACTAAGGTATCAGTTAAACAAACTCTAACTTGGAGAAGATGCATTCAAATATGTTCGAATTCTTAATTTTTTTTTAATATTTTTCTTCAGAAATATCATTTCAAGAGACCGTTTAATTTTTAAGTCAATCTTAAAGTAATATCATTGTTACTCCAACAACTATTACAGATCACCTTGGTAATCTACACGGAATTCCAAGAGAAGATTTAGATCCAACAACAGAGCTGCTACAGTACACAAGGGATCAAACATACTTTATAATTTACATGAAAACAAAGTCGATTTAAGGATTTCTTTCATCAGTAAAGTCAACACTGTAACGTATTGACTAAACATTTCTGTTTCTCTTTATAACCACCATACCAACATCTAATATCTAATTTCAATATATCACATGATGCACAAAATTCTTTTTTCATTTCTCCATCAAAATCAGATGCATGGATAAATTAGCTTGAAATTTATCCAGTTACGTTCCAGCTTTTCCCTGATAATACAATAACTTGTTAATCTAAAACTTAAACTACATTTGACTCAGGCTAACAAGGCAATATATGCATGGACTCAATAGCCTACAAAAATTTCTAATTGAGAAATTACAATCTGTAGTGAGGTCTTAAATGAAAACTATATAACCATATGTATACTTGTTTTTGTTTCAACTGAATTAACTGTAAGACAACAATAATATATCAAAAAGTCAACAAGTCCAAGAAACTTAACCACTGACGAACAGTAAAAACTCATAAAACAAACTACAATAATGAGATAAGATATCAACACCATTTGCATGACCACTGAAATCTAAACCCCCAAAATTACTGCTCACATATTCTTGAACCACGAATCGGTGGTTTGAACCGTCGGTTGAACTGCCCCAGTTTGAGCAGTTAAACCGCGAATTAAAAAAAAAAGTTTAACCAGCAGTTAAAACTGTCAATATTTATTTTTTTTACATTAATTTGTTTTAAAAAAACGAATTCTTGACACCAAAGAAAGCAAGAAAACTTTATCGTTCTTAAGATCTAACAAATGCTTCCGACCCATATACTTTCTGCAATAATATTTTGAACACGTTACTGCAGCACTTAACATATTGGTGCATTGCTTGTTAGTCTCAATCAATTAACTCAAGTTATATGTCGACAAAGTCCACTCCAGACACAAATCAACTGACTGGCACACGTACAAATCATTAAATATTAAATTCGGACTGTAAAGCACAGGCTATATCCCTGTATCAGAAACTCTCCCTTTGAAGATACTCAAATGTATGAAAACATACTAAAGCCAACTTCTAACGGAGAAAAACATTCTCGAGAACCTAGAAAACATTTAGAATACAAACTTCTGTAGTTTATTATTTATGATCAATTGCATAATAACACGATAGAATGACTCAATTTTTCGAAACAATGTAGTACGGGATTCTCAAGAGATATCTAACCTATATGGTTTTCTAGTACAGCAGTCAGCGAATCAAACAAACTATTAGCAACTCACTTACTAGCTACCAAAATCATCACGGAATAAAAGGACAGCACTTAATAACTTACAGTCACACCCATGACTATTAATAGCACGTAAATTTAATCGTTGTGGTTTCAACAAATTCATGAGACAGGGACAAGTAAAAGGATGGTACATTATTGTCAACTATAGGTGTAGCCGATACTTTATACCCCATCCGAAGAAAGATGAGCCAGACGAGATCGAATAAGAACATAGGAATAGAGCTCCATCAAGAAAATCATCACACAGTTAATCTAGTGGCAGGCCCACTTCTGAACAAGCAGTTGATGACCCCATAACAGACTTGAACATATCTCATGAATCAAAATTCTTGACTCACTCCGCAATATGTGAACGGAGTTGACCAGACAAGTTCAATAGTTCAATAAAACAGTATATACTCCTATTTATTACTTAAGGTCGGGTGTATTGGTTAACTACCTTGAAATCACATTGACCTTCTTGCCAAATTTCATATTGAGATATAATGCAATTTTTCCTTGTCTTCGACACTTCTTTCATGGTCTAAGCAACTACTAGGCAATAGATTAAGGATCAATAACAGTAGTAGAAGCGGCTGGTATTTCTACTCACATACTGAACTGTATCTCGTCAACCAGTTCTAGTCTTCTAGATATTTTATATTCCTTAAAATAAAAAGGATAGAGAAAATATTTGCAAGTTCCTATTTTTCTACAAGAACTAGCCCCTGCCTATGCAGATTTGGAGTTCAAGCATGCATTCAAACTCGTAACTTAAATCAACTACTTAAAAAGAAATGAGACTACCGTAGAAACTATTATATCATCCAATATGCCTGCTTGGAAATGTTATCAACCAGTTGAAAAACAAGCTCCTTTAACTCATGAGGAAATGTTTTAACCCAATTGATTCACATTTAGGGGATAAAATTTGATTAAACAATGCATTAATTCAGATATTACAGATATTCCACGAGTCTTTCAGACAGTTAATTGAAAAAGAAAAAGGTAACAATTACCCCATATTGCCAATGCCGTTAACCGGTTCCACAAACTGCAGCTGATGCTGAAGCTGATGTTGATGCTGATGTCCGTCCTGTTGCGGCTCTACCTGCTGCAATGGCTGCACGACACCATCTTCAAGAGCCACCCCAGAACCAGCGGCTCCCTTTCCTTCAACAAACCGCCACATGTACCATGCACCGACTGACCTGTAAGGCTTCCACTTCTCACACAACTGTTCCATCTGTGAAGGCCGAGGCAACTCATCCAAACCGTTCAACATCTGCACCCCTTTCCTAACCCCTAAATCACTGACGGGCAAAACATCCGGTCTATGCAGAGAGAATATCATGAACATATGGACAGACCAAGAACCTATCCCCTTCACCATGGACAGCATTGTGAACAGTGACCTGTCGTCCATCTTGACAACCGTGTCATCTGAAAGAATCCCCGATTTGTACTTATTCGCCAGATCGTACAAGTAGCTAGCTTTGCGGCCGGAAACCCCAATTGCCTTGAGCTGTTGGGTGGAGAGAGAAAGGACGGTGTCAGGGCAGACGGATTCCTCGGCACCACATAGTGAGACAAAGCGTGTGTAAATGGAGGTGCCGGCTTTACACGCAAGCTGCTGGTAGAGAATGCTCTTGGTGAGGGCGAGGAATGGGGGTTGTTGGGAGTCGAATTGAAACGGGAGGTGTGTGTCGATCAGTGGGCCCAGCAGAGGGTCGACTGCACGGAGGTGGCGGATTGCTAATTCAATTTCTCCATCAGCGGATAAGGGTTTGATGATTTGGGGCATAGCTCTAGAGGCTTGAGAGGCGCTCCGCCGCCGGTTTTTTGCGGTGTGGGTCGTGGAGGGCGTGGCGGGACTGGCGACGGTGGAAGCAGCGCCGGCGGCGGGGGTGAGGGGCAAGGAAGGGGAAGCGGAGACGGACGCCTCATCGGCGGTGGATTGAGGCGTCGAAGATTTTCCGGCGGTGGTGGAAAGTTTACGAATTTTTTGAGGTCGAATCGGAATTTTGGAGGGATTCTGGGAATTGTTGGAGATTTCAGTAGCGGCGGCGGCGGCGGCAAGGGAAGCCTCGGCAACAGAGGCGGTTTGGGGATGGCAAATCTGGGGATTGGAGTCGGAATCGGGTGCTGTGGTAAGCGGCGAAGATTGGGGTTTAGAATCGTGTAGCGTATTGGGGATTTCGACGATTTGGGAGTGGGATTCCGATTCGGGTAGCGGACGGGTTTCAATTTGGGTGTGGGTCTGGTCACCCATGTGAACGGAGCAGATAAGGAGAGCTGTAACAGCTACGAGCAGCGGCGGTGGAGATGACGGCGGCGGTGGCGGTGGCGGTGGCGGTGAGGAATGGGGAGGAGAAAGATGGGGAAGTTAGTGTTAAGGAGGATATTGATGTAAAATCGCATAATATATCAATTATATAAAAAGTCAAGTCAATGGGCTGACATTGATTATTGACCATGGTCAAATTAAAAAAACCCCGTCACACCAATTTTCATTAAATATTTTGATTTATACATTACCTAAATTATCCCCGAGTTAATAAATAGATGGATGGATTGTTTCACTTTTGAATAGTCGAACTTCTTAATTAATTATATATTAGTATTTGCAAGTAAATTTATAATTTTATTTAAATCAAGTTTCATCACTCCAAGAATGGTTGATTAATCACTCAACCAAATTGTTAATTAACATGTTAACTAAGTCGATCTGCTGGTTTTGCAAAAGCTACATCGGTGAAATACATCATTTCATTTTACACCAGTTATTTACACATAATTATGAGTGTGAACGAGCCGAGCTCGTCAAGCTCGACTCTTTTAACATGCTCGAGCTCGATTTCATTTTGCCGAGTTCGAGCTCATCGAGTTATTTTCTTTTAGCTCGAGCTTTAACCAATTTTGACGAGCTCGACTCAATTTTGACGAGCTCAAGCTCAGTTAGGATTTTTTTTTTATTATTAAAATATATTTACAATATAATGAAAAAAAATTATAAAATAAATAATGAACTGTACTTGTATACTTTTTTTAACTTTTGTATATTATTATTATAATATTTCATATTATTATGCATTATCTATATAATATAGATTTGTTTTTATTTAAACACTAATAATATTTATTATTATAAACTATTTACTATTTAGTTACTCAGTAACTAATAAAATAATTCAATCTTTTTAATAATAATAATAATATATAGAAAAAATAAAAATAAGAAGCTCACGAGTTGTCGAACAATTATAATTGGACCCGAACTGGAAAAATCGAGCTGAAGTTCAAGCCTTTGTCTAGCCGACTCGTTTAGTGAGTAATTATTTATATAGATCTACGATTTAAAACGATATTTTGTATTTCATTAGGTGTAGTAACTCATAAATTCTCGGGTTTCGGGTTTAGAACAAAAACAAAAACTCATAAACCTTAAGTAGACCAATTTGTTGTATTTTCATTTCGTTATGCGCAATTGCACATTTGATTTTTCATGGATCTATAATATTTTCATATATAAATTAAAAACAAAAATGATTTTATAATTTAAAAAAAAAAAAAAAAAAAAAAAAAAAACACCCCCGCCATGCACGCTCCTCCTCGAATGGCGCCACCTTCTCCGTCGTTCTCGCATTCGTTACCTGAATCGCAACTCACAACCGAAAAGAAGCAACACCATTCTCTCAATTCCACCATATCCATCTTCCATTCAGCCAGCAAAACAATCACACACAGAAAAAAAACCCCAATTTGACAACAACGCCGCCGTAAATGAGTGCAGACGCCGCCACAGAGGATGGGATCCGAAAGCCCTTACTACACACGGGCAGCTGGTACCGCATGTCGGGCATGGGTTCCCGCCAGTCCAGCATCATGGGCTCCTCCGTCCAGATCATTCGCGAATCCATCTCCGTCTTCCTCTGCGTCTTCATTGTAGCCCTAGGCCCAATTCAATTTGGCTATACCGTAATTATTCCCTTTTTTTAATTAATTTACCTCGTCTGCAATTTAGGGTTTTAAAAAAAATCGAATCTTTATTTGTTGATTTTGGGTTTTTTAAATTAAATGTGCCAGTGTGGATACTCGAATCCCACGCAGTCGGAAATCATTAAAGATCTTGGTCTCAGTATTTCTGAGGTATCATCTTTGTAGCTGTAATTAATTGTTGAATTTTAAATAAAGCATTGTTTTATTTTCTTTTTATTATTATTTTATTTATTTATTATTATTTTATTTTTTTGGATGGGTGGGAAGTTTTCTATATTTGGTTCCTTAGCAAATGTTGGAGCAATGGTTGGTGCAATAGCAAGCGGCCAGATTGCGGAAAACGTCGGGCGAAAAGGGGTAAACGATAACGCTATTTGTAATTTCATTGCATTTTTTTGGTTTATTAGCTATGTTTAATTTATAGTTATCATGTTTAAATTGTGCCGCATTTTTCGTATATGATTTTCGTGATACCCTCAAATGCAGTCACTAATGATTGCTTCGATTCCCAATATCATCGGCTGGCTTGCTATTTCATTTGCAAAAGTGAGTATTATATTTTTGACTCGATACTTATGGATCGAATTCATAGTGTTACGGATTAATTATATAAACAAAAATGCTTATGCAGGACTCGTCGTTCTTGTTTATGGGAAGGTTATTAGCAGGGTTTGGCGTTGGCATAATTTCTTACACGGTAAGAAATAGGTCGATTTTTTTTTTTTTTTTTGGAATATCGAATGAAGTTGATAATTGTTTATTTCTGCTATTTAAATTTAAATGTGTGCAGGTGCCTGTATACATAGCAGAGATTGCACCGCAGAACCTGAGAGGAAGCCTTGGATCGGTAAATCAGGTTTGCATCTTTATATTTTTCACTCGCTCGATATTTATTTACCTAATTTACGTCACGAAAAAGCTTTAATTCGATTAGTTTTACCCTTTTCTTTAGCTTTCGGTGACGATCGGAATAATGCTGGTGTATCTTTTGGGCCTTTTTCTACCGTGGAGAGTGCTTGCTGTTTTAGGTGAGTCGTAATATATGCATGTATATATATGGTGTTATAATTTAAATATAGTTCTAATATGATTATATATCGAACTGATTATCTTGCTACAGGAATTTTGCCGTGCACAATCTTGATACCCGGTCTGTTTTTCATACCAGAGTCTCCTCGTTGGTTGGTACGAGATACAAGCGTGTGCCTTATATTAAATTATTAACCATGATTCAGTTTTATGTTTATTCACTTAATTCGATTCATAATCTTAAGGCTAAAATGGGCCTGAACGAAGATTTCGAAACGTCTCTGCAAGTTTTACGAGGATTTGATGCAGACATCTCAATCGAAGTCAACGAGATTAAGGTTATCCCAAGTTTTCATACAGACGGTATAATCTTTACTTTCTTTATTTGGAAAAAAAAAATCATTTTAGTGCGCATTTTACTACAGAGATCTGTGGCTTCGTCGAGCAAAAGGACTGCTATTCGGTTTTCAGAGCTTAAGAGGAAACGTTATTGGTATCCTTTGATGGTACAGTGGATTTTCTATCGTCTGAATTTTCCGATTCACGTTTTGTTCGGAAGTGTAAATTTATTTCTTTTTTGATATAGGTCGGAATCGGACTACTCATGCTCCAACAGCTAAGCGGTATAAACGGAGTTCTTTTTTATTCAAGCAGCATATTTCAATCTGCAGGTAAAAAAAAAGAAAAACTATAAACGAATATTCCACTACTTTAAATTAAGAAAATCGTCTTGCTACGTTTCAATATTTTTCAGCAAATAAATTTCTTGTATCCACATTCATTTATCCAATGTTGCTTACAAAATGTTGTCTTTAAAATCTGAATCGAAGTTTCCATATGGTCTTCAAATTTGAGCAGGGATTTCGTCTGGTAAAGCAGCAACGTTCGGAATCGGGGCTATTCAGGTAAAAAAGAAAAGAAAAAACATCAAATCTTATTAAATACATGTAAATTAAAACTCTAAAAAAATTAACAAATCTCGTTATTTTCGTAAAAAGGTTGTTGTTACTGGGATATCGACAACTTTGATGGACAAAGCGGGTCGAAGAATTCTTCTTATAGTATGTTTTTAACTACCAATTTTTTTATTTTTTTTAATTCGGCACTTTAGTTGATCATTGATATCGAATCTGCTTCCGCCAGGTGTCATGCTCACTAATGACTCTCAGCAGCCTCCTCGTTGCAATGGCCTTCTATTTAAAGGTCTGCAGTTACGATTTTTCGGTTATATATACTATATTATATTTCTTTGCTTTAGCTTCTCTGTATACTAACATTGTTCGATGAAAAACAGGATATTTTGCCTGAGAAGTCTCATTCGACGATGGGAATATTATCATTAATTGGACTTTTGGTATGTTTTTATATGTGATATATTCTTCGATTGGTAATCGAACACATTCATTGTCGGGTTTTTACGTCATTAACTAACTAGGTTTGTTTCTGCAGATTTTGGTAATTGGTTTTTCGATTGGACTCGGAGCTGTGCCGTGGATTATAATGTCTGAGGTATGCATATAAAAATCTCGTCGTAAACTACACACTGGGAAAAAATTCGAACGTGGAGATAATTTGTGCTGAAATTATTCCTTACATACTTACGTTGTTTCAGATTCTTCCCGTGAGCATTAAAAGCCTTGCTGGCAGCGTAGCAACGTTGGCTAATTGGTTGTCGGCATCAGTTGTTACTATGACAGCTAATTTACTCTTAACTTGGAGCAGTGGAGGTTTTCTCTCTCTCCCTCTCTCTGATCTCTCTGTTTCTCTGATCTCTCTCTGATCTCTCTGTTTCTCTGATCTCTCTCTCTCTCTCTCTCTCTCTCTCTCTCTCTCTCTCTCTCTCTCTCTCTCTCTCTCTCTCTCTCTCTCTCTCTCTCTCTCTCTCTCTCTCTCTCTCTCTCTCTCATATACAATCACAATTTTTTTGACAGGGACTTTCCTCATATACGCATTAGTATCGGCTTTTACTGTCGTATTCGTGGCATTGTGGGTTCCCGAAACCAAAGGAAGAACGCTAGAAGAAATCCAAATCTCGTTAAAATGATACCGTCTGCAGTGTACAGCTCTCTGCTCTTATTAGATCCCGAAACATTTTTTTTTTACTATTGCCAGTACATATATTGCTAGCTGCCTCAGCAAAATGTCATAAAATCCTTGGTTAATCAAATATCCAAGGCCATCATTATGTATCGAGAATCGCACATAATATTGAATTTAAAAAAAAAAAAAAAACAAAAGAAAAATACATCGAAAATTCTCGCTCACGATAAAATCTGCGAATAAAATCATCTGAATATTACAAAACACAACTTAATTTATTTTCTAGGTTCGTTTGTTGTGTGCAAGGAGATAAGGAACTTCTTGAGACATCTGTTGTATACGCAGGGTCGTTCGAGATGAACGAGGTGGCCGGCTTTCTTTATCCCCTCGACTGTAGCTTTATCTCCTAGCTCCCTAGGAAATAAGATTATTCAACGATTTAATTAATCATAATAATGTATCTGCGTAACAAAACAAAGCTTACGACGTTTGTTTGGTGAGTTCGATCGAGCTTACTCTTTCATGTTCTGAGCGAGATCGTACGTGAAATCTGATCGTTCTCACCCCACAGAAGATGTATTCTCTGTAACAAACAAAACGTTGCACACAGACAGCCTC